GTTAGTCAAATTTCATGCCTAAAAATAAGTTTTCAAAAGTGGGTGTGGAATTAATTTTTGAAAACTACAACCAAACACCACGTGCAAACCAAGAGGTGGAATTACAATTCCAAAGCTCTTCCAAACAAAGCCTTGTATTCTTCATTGCAAAAGAACACATTGCAAACCCTTAATCGAAGCCCTCTCTATAGTGAACTGCATTCAAATCGAAGAAATTGTTGACACAAGATATGTTCTTCTTCCTCTTCTTCTTCAGTCGTATTTGTGTGTTCATTGGCATACCTCGACCGTATCCCTCAGCCAACCTTGTGTCATGTCGACATTGGTATTTCCCCAAACATGAAGAGTCCGTGTAACATAGGCCACAAGCACCACCATCACAAGCCCTTCCATAAATCTATCGACCCTCATGGTACACAGGTTAGCATTTCTCAAAGCTTCTCTCTCTCATGTACATGCATACACAAACATATATGTAGATTCATTATATGTTTTTATAGTACATGTTAGATAGTTTAATATACATTGTTGGGCTTATTTCTTAATAACTTAAGCTTTTGGGACAATTAGTAATCTAATCTGGTGACAGGGCTTAGGTTAGGACCTAGAGGTGGTATGGGGTTCGAGTCTCTCCATTTGTATTTATTCAACGTTTGCGTTCTATTTCGCTCATTGTATGTCTCCTTACATCTCCAAGTAGGTTGCACATGAGGAAGGGTGTTGAATAGCTTAATATACATTGTTGAGCCCATTCCCTGGCAACTCAAGCTTTTGGAACAATTGATACCAAACCAAACCAAGCCTTAAGTCCCATCAAATGGGATCGGCTACATGAATCCTTCTTCTCCACGCAGTCCTATCAAAGGCTATTTCGTTAGTCAAATGAAGTAGATCCATATCTCTATTTACAACGTTAGCCAACGTTAATCTAGGCCTACCCTGTCCCCTAACACTCCCCTCTACCGTTACAGCATCGCATCTCTTCACTACTGCCTCTGTTGGTCTCCATTGAATGTGACCAAACCATCTCAATCGATTCTCTCTTAACTTATCTTCTATCGGTGCTACCCCTACCCATTCCCGAATACACTCATTCCTAATTCTGTCCTGTCTTGTCTAGTCTTGCCACACATCCACTTTAGCATCCTCATCGCAGCCACACTCATCTTATCTACATGTTGTTTCTTGGTTGCCCAACACTCCGTCCCATACAACATCGCTGGTCTAATAGTCATTCTATAAAACTTACCTTTTAGTCTAGTGGGCATTCGTTTATCGCACAGTACTCGAGACGCACTTCTCCACTTACACCATCCCGCCTTAATCCTATGGGCCACATCCGCATCAATCTCCCCCGCTATTGTGATAATCGACCCTAAATAACGAAAATGTTCACTCTTAGGCAATTCTTGGTTCTCAATCTTCACTTCTCCTCTGCTTTCATTGTTACTGTTACTAAATTTACACTCTATGTACTCTGTCTTATTTCTGCTTATCCAGAAACCTTTAGACTCGAGAGCTTTTCTCTAAATCTCCAACTTTATATTAACTCCTTCTCTAGTCTTATCTACTAGCACGATATCGTCTGGAAAAAGTATACACCATGGCACGTCATACTGAATATTTCTCGTCAACTCATCCATAACTAAAGCAAAAAGATAAAGACTTAAGGTAAATCCTTGGTGTAACCCAACAGTGATAGGAAATTCATTTGTCACTCTAGCAGGCAATCTAATAGTGGTCACCACCCCTTTATACATGTCCCTAATCACATCAATGTAACCTTTTGTCACCCCTTTCTTCTCTAACACCCACCATATTATATCTCGGGATACTCTTTCATATACTTTCTCAAGGTCGATAAACACCATATGAATATCTCTTTTCTTTTCTCTATATTTTTCTATTACTCTCCTCAAAAGATAAATCGCTTCCATTGTTGACCTGCCGGGCATAAACCCACATTGATTCTCTGACACCTCTGTTATATCTCGCAATCGGCGTTCCATCACCCTCTCCCACACTTTCATTATATGGCACATTAGCTTGATTCCTCTATAGTTGTTGCAATTCTGAACATCTCCTTTATTCTTATATATTGGCACTAAAATACTCTTCCTCCACTCATCTGGCATGTTCCTAGTCAACAAAATTTTGCTAAACAATCTAGTCAACCAAGTAACCCCCTTTTTACCCAAGCACTTCCAAGCTTTAATAGGGATATCATCGGGTCCTAAAGTTTTATTTGATTTCATCTTCTTAAGTGCAATCTCCACTTCAAAGTTCATAATCTTGCGATAAAGCCTATAGTGTTGGTTTATCGTATTACTAACCATTTTTTCCCCTATTGTCGTACCTCCATGTTCCTCATTTAATTGTTTCTCAAAATAGTTCTTCCATCTTTCCTTAATCTCTTCATCCTTCACCAATACCTTAGAATCATCACTCTTGATGCACTTAACTTGATTAAAATCTCTTGTTTTCCTTTCCCGTATCTTAGCAAGTTTGTATACTCTCCTTCTTTACTATCTAATCTAGTGTATAGGTCATCATAAGCTTTCAACTTAGCCTCTCTCACTACTTTTTTGACCTCCTTATTAGCCAATTTATAGCTCTTAAGGTTTTCCTTAGTTCTATCATTCTGCCACTTTTTAAAGCACTCTTTCTTTGCTTTAACTACCGCTTGAACCTCTTCCCTCCACCACCAAGTTTCCCTAGCGCTGGGTCCCATCCCTTTCGACTCTCCAAGCACTTCCCTTGAGATTCTCCTCATACAATTGGCCATCGAATTCCACAGTGTTAGCATCATCTTCCAAGTCCCAAGTACCTTCCTTATCTATTCTATTCTTAAATATTTCTAGTTTATCCCCTTTTAAGTCCCACCATCTCGTCCTGCGACGCCCACCATCCTTTCTAGCTTGGTATTGCCCTCTAAAACATAAATCTAGTACCAAAATCCTATGTTGAGAGGTCAGGCTCTCTCCAGAAATCACCTTACAATCATTGCATTTTAGGCAGTCCACTTTTCTCACTAAGAAGTAATCTATTTGGCTCTTAACTGACCCACTCTTAAAAATTATCAAATGCTCCTCCCTCTTCTTATACATAGCATTGGCCACTACCAGGTCAGAAGTCAACGCAAAATCTAAGATACTCTCTCCAGCCTCATTTCTGTCACCAAAACCGTATCCACCATGCACCCTTTCATAGCCTAGTTTATTTATGCCTGCATGGCCATTAAAATCTCCACCTATAACCAGATTCTCTCCTACGGGCATCTCTCGTAAGATCTCATCCATTTGCTCCCAAAAATCCCTCTTAGTCTGATCATCTAATCCTACTTGAGGGGCGTATGCATTAATAGCGTTCACCATATTCCCTCCAATAACTAGTTTAACTAACATAATTATATCCCCTTTCCTAATGACCGCCACTACATTCTCCACCAGACCCTTGGCAATTATGATTCCTACCCCATTCCTGCGTCTGTCCTTACCACTATAATACAGTTTAAAACCGGTATCCTCAATTTTCCTAACTTTCTCACCCGTCCACTTAGTTTCTTGTACGCAAGCTATACTAACTCTCCTCCTAATCATAACATCTACCAATTCCATTGTCTTACCAGTTAAGGTTCCTAGATTCCAAGTGACTACCCTAAACCTGTAGTCTTGGACTAGCTTCTTAACCCGCGCTCGTCCAAAAAAACACGGAAACCTTTGCCCATTTTTCACCGCACCCAGGCGTCGATGCGGCATCCCTTGCTCACTTTTCGAAACACCCGGAAGTACGCACAACGCGTTACTTGAGGGTAACGACCTAGCATTTAGACGATTCAAAGTAAGATTCATTTTCATAAGGGATCCGAACGGCTTTTTTACGTGTTAGCTGTTGGCTACCTAACACACAACCCTCTTCCTTAACCTAGGCTTGGGACCAGCGGAGTTGTAAACAACCCCGGCGGAGTTTTTTGGAGCAATTGATGATCTAACAATATCAATCAAACCCTTTTTTTTTTTTGGAGTTTTTGGAGAGGGAGGGGGGGGGTGTTCTCTTGATAACACAATCAAGCTATTCATCAATCTTCTTTTTTCATTGGCTTTTTGTCAATCCATCAAGATTAGCATCATTCAAAGGACAATGTTCTTTGATAAGTCAAGCACCTATTCTTTCTCTTCTTTTTTCTCTCTAAGCATCTAATGGTTCAATAATTATTTTGTTAGTACTTTTTTAGGGGAAAATATCAAATTAATGGGAAATGAAAAAGTAATTGCAAGCCAATCGAGTGCAAGTGAAGCATGTGCCTCAAGGGCACAGTTTTTATTTGCAATCACTTTCACTCTACTAATTTGCAACTACTTTCTCCATTTCCTATTTATCTAATGTTCCCCCCCATTCCAGCAATTTTTTTATAAAAATGTAAATATTCTTCCAGCTTTCCAGCTATGTGTACTTCAAAGCTTGCAATTGTATTGGGCAACTCGAACCCAATTCAAACTTATGATTTCAAGCTAAAGCTTAGCTTTGGTTTGGTTCAGTAGATTGAGCTAGGTCTCAAACCAGCGCAGGATTAGACAGATCTCAATACAATGTGGGTTGGGCTTGGAAAGTCTCCCAACTTGTCCAAACCCGTCTGAGTGGTAGTCCTTACTAGACATTTTAAAAAGAAAAAAAAAAAAAAAAACATCTTTGAGAGCCACAAACCCAAGGAACTAAGCATCTCTAGTTGGAAAAAAAAATATAATTAATTATGATGGTCCTTCCAAATACACCACTAAAAAAGGAACATGACCCATACATTTTATCACAAAGATGGAGTGAACTAAACTTTAGCCCACTCAAAAGGAACAAGGAGTAAAAGTAGAAGAAGAGTAACAATATATATCCACTCAACAATGCATGAGTTAGATGCTACATCCCGCACAGATATAAATAAAAAGTAAACAACTACTATTGAATGAAATTTTAAACAAACTGAATAGAGAGTTCTCCAGACATACCTAAGATGGTACTGAAGGTCGAGTTCATGCAAATGTGAGAATACCTGTGAAAGTCAAATTTATTACATAGGTCACAACTGACATGGTGTCAGGAATCAGCATATAAATTGGCCAAAGGTGATACACATTGCAAGTATAGAAAACATTAAAGCATGTGAACAACAGATAAATATGTATATCAACTATACTAGGGTAACGACATGTTAGACCTTCAAACATCACATCATTTGTCAATTATAAGGTCAAATCAAAACGTTTTCCATGTAGTAAAATAATATTAACAATGTAATTTTGAGACCTACTCTATTCTTTATCATAATATAACTCCAATGCAAGATCACCGTCAGTTCTCGGCAGAACTATCTTTTTCATCCTTATTTTCCAAGTTAGTATCTGAGAAACTATAATTCATATGCCTCCACTAAAGCAAGTCTAATATATCTTGGTCTCAAAACACGTTAGAAAGAGAAGATATTTTTAACGAAAACAAGTCCAAAAACAAAGGAACTATATTGGCCACCATAAAGAAGACAAAAGCTCTTATCTTTCTTGGGTGATGCAAGGATCTCCCAAGATTGCAAAAGCCACTCAATGACCATAGAAGAGTCTCAAATGACACAACATTGGATGTCCCAAAGCAAGTCTAATATATCTTGCTCTCAAAAAATTCTTAAGAAACTGGAATGCGTTAGACAGAGAAGATCTTTTTCAAAAGACAATAACAAAAACATGTCCAAAAACAAAGGAACTATATTGGCCACCGTAAAGGAGACAAAAGCTCTTATCTTTCTTGGGTGATGCAAGGATCTCCCAAAATTGCAAAAGCCACTCAATGACATAGAAGAGTCTCAAATAACACAACATTGGACATCCCAAAGTTCCTAACTTCTTTAAGACATGTCAAGAAGCCAACTATGTATTCACTTTCATTGTGTCCCTCTCCCTCTAGAACTTGGCATTAACTTGAATTCCTCAACGATAAACAACAAGAATTGAACTCAACCTCTTTCAAGTCCACATTTTAGTCACAACAAAATGGACTGAAAGGAGAACCCGACACCATTCCACACTAAATAAGAGTAGACGAATGTTCGACCACAGATTGCTTAAGAAGCAGAAAGTGATGGTACTAATGGCGTGTAAAAGTTAAAAAAAGAAAATACAATTTATTTCATTTCTGCACATTGAGTGACTCAGAAGAGTAGTTTTTTAACTTTTCTTCCTTTAGAGTCACTCTGGTCATGGCACAAAAGGTAAAGGAATACAGCGTAGGGTGGTGAAGTAGTTATGTGAGTTTGTTATGTGTACGGCACGAAAATTTTAAAAATCTGAGAAGAATATTTTTCAGTTTTAAGGTTTGAAACCCTTCCTCCCAGAGTCTCTTGTGTGTGTGTACAAATGAAACTCATCTTGCAATTTTTTTTGATCTTTTTGCCATGGATCTTTTCTGGTTGCCGTAAGCTGGTTAGTGATCTTATAGATTTTGTGTACTAAGATTTTGCCCCTTCTACAGGTGCCTTTATCCACAAATACAATTAAATAAGGACAACAATGTTTTATCACAAGGAGTTAAGAATGGCTGCAAACAGAAATATTAATAGCAGGAGGGTAATATGTTAGTAATATATATGAATTGGTTGATCATTTTATTCCTTGGTAAAGACCACCACCACCTCTTCCCCCAAATCATGATACACTAGTGCCTTTTTGTGATGCAAGTCCTTAAAGTACGCATACATAAAACCAACAATCTCATACCTTCCTAGATACTGATCGGATTGTTCGTAATGCTACCTTAGAAAACACAGCAGTTCGCAACTCTGGAACAACAAATTTGCACAAGATTAGGAAATGCATCCAAAAAAATAAAATTAAAATTTTAATTCTGCAATTGGCACCACAGAATTCATGAGTTGGATTTGGACTTGGCAATCTTAGTCAAAAGTGAGAGGTGTATACAAAAACAAAACGAAGCTTTATCTACAATTAAAAAAAGAAATACTCTTTAAATTTACAAACAGAAACGAGATACGCTTCATTTGAAATCAAAGGTACACATTAGCAATTACTTCAAGTGAGGTACCATTGAAAGCAGCAGCCCCTGACCGTGCTATCCCATATCCCACTAAAACAGCTGCAGGGCTCACAAAAAGAGCCAAGGCAGTTGAATTTGCAGTTGTAAATGAAGCAAAAGCACTAGCATTGCCTGTTGCCGTTGTTAACCAATCAACAGCAAGCTTGAAAAGGAAAGGTACCTGAACATTCAGAACCTACAGAACAAAAGCACAACAACTTGTTTAGTGATTAATGGAGAGCAACTTCTTTCAATTTCTACAAACCAACTAAAGCTACTACATAACAGTCTAATCAGTTACAAATTGGAAAATCAGACTCTACACCCACCTTGGCTCCCACCAAGAAACCCAAGGCAATAACAACCCGCAAACGGAACTCAAGGTTATCTTTCAACCACAAGTACTTCACAAGAGTACGAAGAATCTTCGTGTCGGCAACTTGCTCCCCGGAAGCTCCCCTTTTCGCAACAGTAGTCGTTTGCTCTTGCTTTGCACCCTGTTTTCTGCCGACTGCATCACTCCCCGCCGATGTTGAGAACAGTGCAAACCCATTTGGCATCGAACCCTGTTCAAGGCTTCTAATAAGAAAACCATAAAATTCATAAACACACAAACATATATGTGGTCATAATTGTGGGTAAAATTGTGTGTCCTAGACATACATATATATCTATACTATCTATACTATCTATATATATGCTATCATATAAAGTCTACAGTGAACTGGGTATGAACACAAAAGGGAGCTTCTATTTACACACACCCATTACACTCTATATACATCTTTTTTAATAAATAATTGGTTCGGAAGTAGCATTCTGAAAATAAACAACTTGTTCGGAAGTAGAATTCCGAATTTTTTTCATTTTTTCGACATTTAACTTCCAAATGTGTTTATTTGATGTCCATAATAGTAATTTCACTCGAAAATAAAATTATAATAAAAATAATTATTATTAAGTGTGTGTAAAGAGGGGAATGGGGATGTGCAAATAGAAGCTCCCGAACACAAAATGTCACAGCTTTTTGCTTTACCAAAATGCCCTTATATAATTGCAGCTACAACCACTGAATTTAACCACACACATATACCTGTAACTGTTGATTTCAAGCACACCCATATGGGTGTGCATAACTTCTAGTCTATTCTATTATATAAAGCAAAGGCTTAAGTTGGTATAGACGCTTCTTTTGTCACATTTTTTCCAATTCTGAAAATACTCCCAACAGTTTGATAACTGTCAAAAGGAAGAAACTGCCATAAGAATACTGATTATATATTCAAAATTTCACAAATGTTTTCTATTCATCTTCTCCATTAAATATTTATATATTTGCACATTGCACTGCATGTGAACCAACGGCTAGTGTATCTATGCTATCTATAACATCTACACTATCATATAAAGAAAACCCCAACCTTGGTGTGGATGTCACACATTTTCCTTCTATTAAAATGCCCACAAGAGCAGCTACAAAAACAATTATGCCATTATTCAGTTTTTTTAAAACAAAACTCTCAACTACCTCTAACACACTTAGATCTTTTCAATTGCACATATAGTTCCCATCTAGTATGTATATAAAGAGAGATTACAGACGTGGCATAGATGTCACGTATTTTACTTTTCCAAAAATATGCACAAGAGCAATTACAAGAACAGTTACGCCATTGTTAAATATTTTTTTAATTAAAAAGAATAGACTCTCAATTGCCTCTAACACAACCACGATCTTTTGAAACCATTTGAATTGTACACATGTTCACTTTCCCTTCAAGTATCTTCTATACTATTATATTATTACATATGTGAAGCCTTGAGATAGTGTTGATACAAAATATCTCATATTTTGGGTTTTCCTAAAATACTTCTATAGTTGGTGTTTATATAAAAATTAAGTGGAGGACAAAACCTGAAACCGAGATCATAGATTTGGCAAATAACACCACTTGAGCAACACATACTACTATGTGTGCATTCCTCTCTGTCATTATTCTTATACTATTACTTTTTTTCGAGTTGCACAAGCATCGCGTGTGCAAACCGCTAGTATCTTCTATATGCTATTATAAAACAAACAGCCACGGTAGTGTAGACGAAGCTGGCTTACCGCTAGTATCTTCTATACACTATTATAAAGCAAGCAGTCATGGTGGTGTAGATGAAGCTGGCTTATGCTGTAACTGCTTGGAGCAGTTTATGACCCTATTTAAGTGTTTCAATTGGTAATTGCCTATCTAATTGTTTCACTCGTGAACATATAGGGTGTGCCAACACTACTAGTATATATATATATATACTATCTATACTTCTATACTATTATATAAAGTGAACGACTCATGATGTCCACGCCTTGCTTCATTTTTCTATTTAAAAAAAGAATAGATAAATGGGAGGAGTAGTAGGACTTGAACCTTTTACCACTTGATCAGTACACAATATATAATAAATATTTTATTTTGATCACTTATTTGAATTGCACATGCATAGTGTATGCCAACCCCGTTAGTGTGTGTATATATATATATATATATAGAGAGAGAGAGAGAGATTACAGGTGGTTGGGGAGGTCTAGGAGGGGTGTCAGACAAGAAGCCATTGAGGTGCTTGAAGAAAAAAGGCGTGGTTTTGGAAACATCCCAAGGGTTACACCGATGATAGCATCCACTACTTCTAGTACTACCTGAGGAACCAATGCGGAGAGAGAGGGCAGTGGCAGTGGTGGACGATTTCCAAGGAAGAGGGCGGAAGCTGCAATCCATTGTCATCATTTCTCTCCTGCGGAACAAAATCTGGGGCGCCCTTCGGCACCTCGATACGATGGCCGCTCGCATTCCCTAACTCCTCCTTCGAATCAAGGAGTTAATACTATAAAAACACGATCAATCGAATCGAACTCAACTGATTCAATGAAAAAAGAGAAAGAAACCCTAGTAGTAGAATCGGAGAAGAAGATGCAGACACAATCCAAATGGAAAAATAATGTATATGTGTCAGTCTCCGACGGCGGAGTTGAATTTGAATTGAATTTATATAGTACTGTTGTTTTGTGTGAATTGGTTTGGTGCATAGATGTATTTAAGGCTAATTCCACTTTGATTTGGTTCGAAACATGCAGATACTACTTACTTGATTTACAGTAGCGATTACATTTTTGAGGCTTTTCCCATATTAAGGGGAGCATCTATTTACGCACACAAAATATTCTTTTTGCACATTTTTCTTATTACACGCATCAAAAAAAATTAATTCTTAATTAATTTACTCATTACACACACCGTTCATTCCACATCTGTCCTTATACACACACACCCCCCCCAACCCCAAACAGGGCCAGCCCTGCCTATAGGCAGGTAAGGCACAAGCCTTAGGCCCCAAATTTTGACCCAAAAATAGGGCCTCCAAATTTAAAAATTTGTTATAGGTTCAATTTTTTTTTTTTTTTTTAAGATCAATTTAAAGGGTCCCAAATGTTTTATTAGGCCCATGTATAATTTAGCCCATATTTATTTATAAATGTGTTTGACCCATATTTATTAAAATAAAAATATATAAATAAAAAAAAAAACAAAAACTGAAAATGTGTTTGGGCCCAATCCAAAATTTATGTGGTGTGGGACAGTGAAAACAACTTTGGAGGCTTTAAAGGGCCCCAAAACTGAAAATATATTTAAAGGGGCCCAAAATGTGTTTGGCCCAACCCAACCCAAACCATACATACAAATATAATACACAATAGCATAGGCATAGCAGTGATGAAACGAAGTGGAGTGGCTTTTCAATCTCTGTTTAACAAATCAAAATGAAGTGAATCACTCTCTCTTGAAGGCAAGCAGACGCAGATGAAAGCATAGACTCATTCTTCCTCTTTCACACACTCCTCCTCCCGGCGATTCACATTCACTCTATGTCACAGACTCTCTCTCATGTAAGTCCTTTATCTCACTATCAGATTTTATTAAATAAAGTTGCCCTAAATTTTTTTTTTTTATATTCTTTCTCTACCAATTAGTGGAATAATAAATTTGTCATAATTTTTTTATTACCTTCTTTATCCATTAGATTTTAGTGGAATAAATAATTTAGCCCTAATTTTTTTACCTAGGTATTTATCAGTTTTAATTGAATAATTTGTTTGCCCTAATTTTGTTTCATTAAATTATTTTTTATAATTTATTTGCCATCAGATCAGTGGATTGTGATTTGTGGATTTAAGTGTTTGTGATTTGTGGATTGATTTGAAGTGTTTGTGATTTGTGGATTGAAGTGTTTGTGATTATAGCCATGTTTCCTAGGAAGTATAGTTCTGGAAATGAAAAGAGAAAGAAGAGGATGAAACTAGAACAATTAATTCAATCTCAATCGGGAGCACTTGATAAATATTTTGGTACCAAGAAACAAGTAGATATTTTGGGTTCAAATGACAATGATGATGAAGATTTGGTAATTGAAGAGCCTACTCATTGTGTGAGTAATAATGAGCATGATGATTTGGTGATTGAACAACCTAGTGAACATACGAATGAGAATGAGAATGAAGATTTGGGGAATGTAGAATCTAATGAAAGTGAAAATGTCAATGTTGAATGTGGACCTCTAAACAAGATTGATCAAAATTTAAGGGATTTACTAGTTGAAAGAGGTCCCATAAGAGGTAATGGTGTGAATTTTCCCCTAGATGACAAAGATAGGCATTTTTCGTGAAAGGCGTGTCATTCGTAGAAAGAAACATTTTGATGAGAATGTTAGTGAAGAGGTTGCACAATCAGCTGAAGAATCCTTTAGAGTTAATTATTTCATATATATAATAGATCAAGCTCTTTCTTCACTTAAGAGTAGATTTGAACAATTTCAAATATATGATGAAACTTTTGGATTTTTGTTTGATTTGAAGAAGTTAAATTCTACCAATGATGAGTGCTTGAAGACTTATTGTGCTAATCTTGAAGACTTTTTGAAACATGATGGGCTTATGGATATTGATGGGAGAGATTTATTTTCTGAGTTGAAAGTCTTCAAAGAAATTTTGCCAAAAGAAATCAGTAGGCCAATTGAGGTGATGAATTATTTGAAATTGATGGATGGTTGTTTTCCAAATGCCTGGATTGCGTATAGAATATTATTGACTATTCCAGTTACCGTTGCCTCTGGAGAAAGAAGTTTTTCAAAGTTAAAATTGATCAAATCCTACCTTCGATCAACAATGTCACAAGAAAGATTGAATGGATTAGCTATATTGTCTATTGAAAAGGATTTGGTAGATAAATTAGATTATACAAACTTAATTAGTGATTTTGCAGCTAAAAATGCAAGAAGAGTAGTATTTAAGTGATCGTTGGGTTAATTGTAAGCTGGATATTGCTAAACTATAAAGCAACAAAACCAGTTTTTAATGTTTTGGAGTCACTATACTGATTTCTTCCTATCTTAATATATGAAAGTAAATTTTAGTTTATAATTTTAATGATTATATGTTCAAGTATACTTAAATAAAAAATTTGTAGATACTTATCATTTTATGCATAAATTTTTTATTAAAAAAAAAAATATTCGAGGGGCCCCATTTTCACAGGGCGCCTTAGGCCCCACAAATCTCAGGGCCGGCCCTGAATGCAACTATTATAAAAAGGTAAAACGCAAAAAGCTAAAAACTAATTACAAAAAAAAAAGAGATAAGAAATTTTACCACGTGCAACTTTACTAAGATACCTAAAGGCTAAATGTCTCAGTAACAGATATGAAAGAAATCAACAATAATAAATCCCTAGTTTTTCAACTTCTTCAAGATTTATTGTCAAGTTCTGTCAAGAAGTATGAATTAAGCCTGGCATATTTCATGTTTTCAACCACCCCAGTACTTCCCCCAAATGTTACAAATAACTCCATCATTTTTCCCCCAAAAATTTCCGAATAATCAAGACCATTAAAATATGATAAACTTCTTTACCAAAAAAGAAGTCTTAAAATTTTTCCCAATCCCAGGTTACAATACAAACTACACTGAAGTGAATAATACCTGAATCCAAAATTTGTGACCATCTAATTATGCATTTAGTTAAACTGAACATATTCCACTGAAAGAAAATAATAATAATAATTACACATTTGTATGAAATTTAATAGGGAGAAGACCAAAATACCTCCTCACCCTTGTTAATGGCCTTGATACTTCCAACAATTATTCTGGGACCATATTCCTTAGCTCTCACTGCATCATAATTAACACAAAACACAAAAAAGGAACTACACTGAATTTGAAAGAATAGCTGATTTCTCATTTTTGCAAAAATATAAACAATGAATGACCTTTTGTTGATTCACATTTGTTACCATTTCCCATTCCTTCAATTCCATCACTGCTGGCAGGAACAATGCCCGACCGCGACTCGCCACCGGAACACTCATGCTGCAGCGAAAACCAGGAACAAGCATTGGGGGAGCAGCTGTGATTGATCCACGAAAATGTCGTATCGTACACAGCAATCCCAACGGCGGGACCTCCTCCGCTAATCTGAACCTCCACGGCGTTCGTTAGCACCACACACAACACCACCTCTTCCAATACACACTCCCCTAACCCCGAGCATTCTAAAGCCAAGCCGTCTCGCATCCTTCTCGCCATCGCCATGGCCTTCGCGCCATCCCTAATTCTCGCCAAAACGTCGCCGTCTTCTTCTTCTTCTTCTTCGTTCAGGGAAGACATCAATTTATCGCGATTGCTCATCAAACCGCCAATTCTCTCAAACTGGTAGTTTTGGGGGGAAATGAGGTTGAGGAGCTCGAAGTGGCGGATGAGGCGGAGGGCGGCGTGGAGGTCGGAGGTGTCGCTGCCGCCGTGGAAGTGGCAGCAGAGGAGGTGGTGCTCGGCGCTGGAGAGGTGGAGATCGGAGTCGGCCTCGGAGCATTGTGGGGAGCAGTAGAGGACGGAGGAGGAGGAGGAGGAGTGATGGCCTCAAGCCATGGCCGGTGGAGTGTGGGGATGTCCCAAAAGCCATTCTCTGCCCTCCAAAGCAAAAACACAAGTGTTTGGTGCAAAACCAGACACAAAACGGTCAAGTCAAGAGATCCTGAGGCAAGGCGCGTAGCCAAGACCTCCGGGAACTCCAAACGAACGCAAACATGGATGATCACCGAGTGTTCAAACGGTGACGTCCAAGTCTTGAGGACGGTCAAAAATGGGGTGTCTACACAGACCCCTCCAACATACACCCATCTGAGAACCCCTCTCACACACACCCATCTCTCACAGTCTCCACTGTTCCTCCCCAAAAGCTTCATCCATCCATTTGTGTCATTGAAGTATTGGCATTGAAGGGCATTGAAGAGCATTGAAATTTTCACATTTTAGGTTAGTTTACACAGATTAGAATTTTCTCATTCCTATTTTATTTGTAATGTAGGGTTAATTTTAACCATTTTCGAAATTTTCAGTCCACCCCAACGAAAGTGATTGCTGTGTTTCATTCGGAACTGGTTTTTCGAAATTTTTGTTTTTGTTCGGCATTAGAGTTCCGAAATTTATGCTTCTATTCAGCACTATAGTTTCGAAAATAGTTACTTGGTTCGGCTTTCAAGTGCCGAAAATATTTTTTTTTTTCGGTTTTCAACTTCCGAGTAGTAGCTATAATTTCGGACAACAACTTCCGAACATAATAGGTATTTTCGGACAACAACTTCCGAACAAAATAGGTATTTTCGGACAGCAACTTCCGAACACAAATTTTTTTTTTTTTTCGTTCTAACACTTAATTAAAACATTTAATTATAACACTCACTACACACACTGTCATTAATTTTACACACACTCTCTCATTATAATTTAAAACACTTATTATTTACACACACACTCATTACACACACTGTCATTAATTTTACACACACACTCATTACACACACACTTATAATTTAAAAGACTGTCATTAATTTTACACAAACTCTGTTTATTTACACACACACTCATTACACACACTTAGTATTTTTTGCAGATAATATGGATTCTGAATATCAACAACGTGTCCCACCTACTGCTTCAAATTGACGACGTCGTGAATTGGATGTAGACCATGAACGGGGACGAGGGCGTGGGCGAGGACGAGGTCAAGGTCGTGGTCGAGGTCGTTATCCAGTTTCGGTAGAATATGATAATCCCAGTGCCAGTCAAAGTGGGACCCGAAGCCAAAGACGAGTGGAAGGTTATGATATGCCTGACATTGCTGTGGAGGATACCTCTTTACCTGATTCTCCTCCTGTCCAGGAAAAGTACCTTACTCATGCTTTTCCAGGTGGACCGACTGACCCGTCAATACTACGGAGTTTCAATAGTCATGTGGCTGCAGCTATTTGGCACGGGGAGGTAAACATTCCTCAGTAAAACTGAAATTCATTTGTATATGAGTTTTTTTTTTTTTTGTGTTGTATGGTAGTTTGTAATGAGATATCATTTGTGTTGTAGGAACGAGGGCCCCTAAAGTGTTATAATCACTCTTCCAAGATCCTTGCATGGCCATGGTGGTTAGTAGAGAACAATACCAGATTCAAAGCCATTATTGAGCAGTCTGGACTGTCACAGTTAGCTCGTTGCACTTATCGGTTCGTCAACAAGCTTCTAGTCTCATGTTTTGTTGAGAGATGGCAACCTGAGACGAACACATTTCACATGACAGTTGGTGAGATGACCTTGACCCTGGATGATGTTGGCACTATTCTTGGCCTTCCCATTGTAGGCAAATCAGTCAGCATACCAGATGTGACAGATCATCATGGAGTTACATTACTCGTTTATGGCTTGGGGATTACTGAACGTACAGCACATGAAGAGGTTTCTTCTGCTGGTGGCAATTCAGTCAGGCTTGAATGGTTGCGAAGTCAGTTTGCTGGTGTCACAGATTCAGACCCCGAGGAGGCTATACAGTGCGCTGCTAGAGCTTATTTGTTATTTCTGTTGGGATGTACACTCTTCAGTGACAAGAGTGGCGGCAGGGTTCCCGTTGTTTACCTCGGCTTGTTGATGGATTTGGGATCCATACATACTTATGCCTGGGGTGCTGCTGCATTAGCATTTCTATATCGACAGTTGGGGTTTGCTAGCCGGTCTGGGGTTAAGCAGATGGGTGGTTATATGACTCTTTTGGAGGCGTGGATTTATGAGCACTTCCGAGCATTCCGACCTCATCACCCCAAAATCAACGATGCCTAAACTCGTTCTCCACCGCACACAACATATCTTTTCGAGCCGAGCTTGACAGTTTAGTAGCTACTGATGTAAGTTTACTCATCCTGCGATAATTTTAAGACTTCCATTTATCTTACCCTTTATGTACGTTAATGCAAAAACACTTTATGTTTACAGGTTATTTGGGATCCATACCACAGCTGCAGAGACCGGCATCCATGTAACCCGGTTACGTTCTACCATGGATGCTTAAAGTGCTTAGACGTTGTCGAACCGTATCATCCAGATAGAGTTTTGAGGCAGTTTGGCAGGGTTCAAACCATCCCAGATGCACCGCTAGCTCCCAGTCGTGGTGCACGAGGCAACATATCTGCACGATATACCGTCATGTACAGATACTTGGATAGGATGTGGAGGCTAGGGATAACCACGTGTTGTCTGCGCAACGGAGGAGCACACCAGTTCGTCAGCCTTGGCAATGTGTACCGGGTTACATGGATTGGTATAAGAATATCACGCACCTATATGTCGAGCACACTGATGAACCGCGTGTCCATGACCATCAGGATTTCAGCGAACATGCGGATGTAATCTATTATCCTCTCTGATGCATATGTAACTTACTTCTTTTTTTTTTTTGATATGTTCCCTAAAATGTGATATTCTTTTCAAATGCAGCGTATTGCACATGCACTGCAGATTTCACATCCTATTATTGACGCTGGTTATGAGGAGGGGATTCGCCATCCTTATCGACTTTACCAGGCTATCGAGAGTATGACACATGTTCTTGAAGGTCAGCACATTGACGAAGCTGGACCTAGTTCTGCTGGAGGTCGCTTTCCATCTTCGACATTAACATACGGTCGTAGGCCTAGGCGTAGGCATACAGCTGATTCGTGACATGTTATGTTGTTACATGTTATTTTGTTAGTTGATGAATATTTTTTGGTGTTTTTTGTAAGATGACATAGTTGTAATGGTAACAGTGGTTAATATTTTCTTACTAGAATGGAATGGTAACAATGGTCGTTGATTTTGTAAATGATATTTTCTTATTACAATGGAATGGTAACAATGGTCGATAACATTCAAAAACACATCAACATCAAAAATACATCCATTAATTTCTTCCATAATTGTAACATTGTCAAATGCATACATGTGTCATGCGACATCAACAACATCAAAAGTCTCTCGAGTAGCTACATTATCATGAATAATGTCCTTGAAATGTTGAATCCGACGCACATATGCATCATCCCAGTCCACAGCACAAGGGTGACAGTATTTTCTCCAATTAGTGGCAATAGGAGGAACTGGATGGCCTGGCTGCAACAAAACCTGCACCAAATATCAATTGACTTAGTGGTCATACCTCATCACTTCTTGTACATGCACAAACCCAATTGATAAGTTTCTGTTATACCTGGACGAAATGATTTCCGTTGACAAACCCAATGGCAATCTCACGTCTATCAAGTTGAGGTATTGGCACTGTTCTAAGAGGTAAAAAGGTGAGACATTGCTGTAAAGACAAGTGGTATAACACAAGATTGTAGCACGATGCAACAAAATGCCCCATGTCTGGCATAGTCATCCAATGTGAGTATCCAGGACTGTCTTCAAAAGTATGACAATATGCTTGTCAATTCTTCAAACCTTTCATAGGACCTGTAAAGTGTAATGTATTCCTCTTTGTGTATGTGCAGCTCACCCAATAGGTCACGCTTAACTTGAGCCCAATCATCTTCTGTATGACCAATTGAAGCAGCTACAGCCCTAAAACCACAATTTCCATCTGCAGCTACATCCTTGACAAACTTAATGTATGGTTTCAACCCAGCAGGGAAAGCATCAACATATGCACCAGGTTTCACTGTTCTAGTAATGTATGCCTTCCCTTTCGGATTCACCTTCTCCTTTCCCTTAACAGGTCGCTTCTTCTTGGTTTGCAGAGTAGAAGCTAATGTAATGATTTCAGTGTCCCTAGGTGAGAAGGAATCATGTCCAGATTGCACTAACTCAAATGCGCACGGGTCACGACGGGTAGAAACATTGATCTTCTTATGATCCCGAGGACGTGTTTTGGGCTTCACCTCCGGCTCAACAAGAAAAGTGCTTCCCAGATATACAATCTCTTTCAACTTCTTTAAAAGCTCCAACCGCATGGTTCTATCACTTTCATTAAACTTGTTCACAAACAACTCTACTTCTGCATGACAAGTCACCTCCGTTTCCTCTTCTTTCTTACATATGGAGATACGAAGTTGCCTCCACTGTGAGTGTATGGTAGCAAGTGGTATAGGACGATCTTGTCTGATGTAGTCAGCAATCTCATGGGTGCAAGGTAAACCATGAGTGTGGCGAAGGACGCATCCACAAGCTTCAACATCAATACCAATGGAATTGGCTCTCTTACTCTCAACAAGCAAATACTCCAATGCAGAGATAGATACATTACCCCGTAGCTCTCTGAATTGAGAAGGTTTAAATTGATGTTGCACAACAGTTAGACTTTTCTCAAATGAAGCCTTGATATCAGTATGTTGCAACTCAAGCAAACTGTGTATTTTCTCAAATGATGCCTGAAATGAGACTTGACATGAACCCAATTGTCTTTTAAGTTTTGCATGTGCACTCTCAGCCTTGTTCAATTCAATGTAAGTCAAAGTTAAAATCAAGTACATGGCACTTATTAATAACATATTGAAGAAAAGTAATCTTACCGGTTCGTTGTAACATTGCCACAATGCATACACGTGTCTGTCCACGCCGCCACAAATTTGTCCTTGTAAGGAACCAACCATGTATCCATGACGTATTTGACTGCATCAGGATAACTACTGAATTCCTTAAGTAATGATTTAAGACTCTCCTTATATTGAATTTCAGAAGATGAATACACTACAGAGTTCCACTCATGGTTGAACTTCTTCCATTTTTGCTGTGTCTCAAACATTTTCTTGCATTTGGTCAACACATTCTTACTGATATGCCAACGACATAATAAATGTCCGGCACTCGGGAATATCTTCTGTATGGCATTCATCAAGGCTAGCTCTCTGTCAGTAACAATAACTGTTGGCACAACAAACCCATCCATGACATCACGCAATGTAGTTAACACCCATGTATAGTTATCGACCCTCTCATACTGTAAGTATGCAAAAGCTATAGAGAATGTCATTTCAGTTGATGTCACTCCCACAATTTCAAGAAGAGGAAGCCGATATCTATTGGTTTTATATGTGCAATCCATAATTAATATACGTGAGAAAGACCGAAATAAGTCCAAACTGGTAGGATGTGCCCAAAACAAGTCTGTCACAGTCATCGTGGACTCTTCAGACCGATGGCGCTCAATGTAATTATACTTGGCCAATTCACCCAATAAGTGTTGCATCTGTGATCTTCCAGCTCTTTGTACCACCCTGTTTCGATGGCGTACATTGTAAATGGTTTTAAGTGTGCTTACATTGAGGGCATCAACTTCCGAAAATAAATAATTATTTCGGTAGTACATTTCCGAACAAAATAACAAAATTCAGCTCTGGTTATCCGAACGACGCTGCGAAAAAAAAATAAAATTAAACTCACATTTCCTTCGCTCTGCTTCACATGAATACTTATTTGCTGATTTTCAGAAGGCAAATCCTCCATCACAATGATGTTTTCCCTATAGAAATGCCAAAGCCCTTTGTAAAAAATGAAAACCCTACAGAAATGCCAAAGCCATTTTCAAAGAAGCATGCCAAACCAGTGGCATTGAGATGTTTTCATTGGGATGTTTTCAACTATGAGGTGTGCATTGAGATGTTTTCAATTAACAATGGTGTCTAAAATGGTAATTTCACTTATGGATAAAATTGTAATAAAATTAAATATCATTAAATGTGTGTATTGAGGGTATTAGGTGTGTGTATATAGAAGCTCCCCTAATTCCACTTTGATTTGGTTCGAAACATGCAGATACTACTTACTTGATTTACAGTAGGGATTACATTTTGGAAAATGAGCGGTGCTCCCAGGAATGATATGGCAATAGGCCTCACCATGAATGTTTTGATATTTTGATCTTGATGTTGTATTTTTTATTTTTTTTATTGAGTGTCATGTTATTAGTGGTCTTTTTAGAGCTCTAAAATTAGTGGTCTCTATCATTGTTGTTACATTTTTTAGGCTTTTCCCATATGAAGGGGAGCATCTATTTATGTACACCAAATATTCTTTTTGCACATCTTTCTCACTACACACACCAAAAAAATTAATTCCTAATTAATTTACTCACTACACACATGGTTCATTCCACATCTGCCCTCATACACACGCACACCCTCCCGACCCCAAACCCAACTCTCCCAACAGTGCAAATACACACACCCATTGAAGCTGAAGCTACATCTTCAACCTTGAGGATACACACACCTATTGAAGCTTACCATGTGCAAATACACACACACCCATAGTAGAAGCTTCACACAGCTTTCATCTCCAAAGCTACATTCCATTGAAGCATTCCAACACATTTTCAATCCTCATTAGGTGAGTTTACTTTTGAATCATCATTCCTATTTAATTTGCAACGTAGAGTTTTGTTTTTATCATTTTGAAAACGAACGAAGGCCCACGGGGTGTAAACAAACAAACCGTTCGGAACTGGTTTTCCGAAATTAAGGAATTTGTTCGGAAGTAGGAATCCGAAATTGGTGATTTATTTCAACAGTAGGTTTCCGAAACTTTTTGATTATATCGGTAGTCAACTTCCGAATATATTAAATTCAAACAACAATCAACTTCCGAAATTAATTTTTTGTTTCGGATTTCAACTTCCGAACAGTATATATACTTTCGGTTTTAAACTTCCGAACAGTGTTTTTTTTTTTTTTCTCTCCCTTCTTTTGTATATTCTTTTTACATTTGTGGTAATCTCTTATTGAGTGATAAATAATTTGAGAAAATGCATTAAAATTTTAATTATTGTAACATAATTTATACCTATATGAATCAATCACTACATATTGTATTTGAGATCACCTTTTCAAAACTTGTTTGAGCTTCAATGGGTACTAACATGGAATTAAAAAATGGTATAGCTTTGTTTAGGGATAGAATTAGGGAATAAGACCATTAGTAATGCACTAGGATCGATTTTTTTTTTTAATTTTATTTTTAACAATGTGATACTTAATGTGTTTATAATTATATATATTATGAGATTATTATAGTATTATGTTTGATCAAGATGATGGTCATCAAACATATTAATTTTTGCAGATAATATGGATTTTGAATATCAATAATGTGTCCCACCTACTACTTCAAATAGACGACGTCGTGAATTGGATGTCGACCATGAACGGGGACTAGAGCGTGGACGAGGACGAGGTCGAGGTCGTGGTCGAGGTCGAGGTCGTGATCCAGTTTCGGCAGAATATGATATCCCCAGTGCCAGTTTCAATCCTCATTAGGTGAGTTTACTTTTGAATCATCATTCTTATTTAATTTGTAACGTAGAGTTTTATTTTTATCATTTTGAAAACGAACGAAGGCCCACGAAGTGTAAACAAACCGTTCGGAACTGGTTTTCCGAAATTAAGGAATTTGTTCGGAAGTAGGAATCCGAAATTGGTGATTTATTTCAACAGTAGGTTTCCGAAACTTTTTGATTATATCGGCAGTCAACTTCCGAATATATTAAATTCAAACAACAATCAACTTCCGAAATTAATTTTTTGTTTCAGATTTCAACTTCCGAACAGTATATACACTTTCGGTTTTAAACTTCCGAATAGTGTTTTTTTTTTTTTCTCTCTCCCTTCTTTTGTATATTCTTTTTATATTTGTGGTAATCTCTTATTAAGTGATAAATAATTTGAGAAAATGCATTAAAATTTTAATTATTGTAACATAATTTATACCTATATGAATCAATCACTACATATTGTATTTGAGATCACCTTTTCAAAACTTGTTTGAGCTTAATGGGTAATAACATGGAATTGAAAAATGGTATAGCTTTGTTTGGGGATAGAATTAGGGAATAAGACCATTAGTAATGCACTAGGATCGATTTTTTTTTTTTTAATTTTATTTTTAACAATGTGATACTTAATGTGTTTATAATTATATATATTATGAGATTATTATAGTATTATGTTTGATCAAGATGATGGTCATCAAACATATTAATTTTTGCAGATAATATGGATTTTGAATATCAACAACGTGTCCCACCTACTGCTTCAAATAGACGACGTCGTGAATTGGATGTTGACCATGAACGGGGACAAGGGCGAGGACGAGGTCGAGGTCGTGGTCGAGGTCGTGATCCAATTTCGGTAGAATATGATATCCCCAGTGCCAGTCAAAGCCAAAGCCGAAGCCAAAGACGAGTTCAAGGTGATGATATGCCTGACATTGCTGTGGAGGACGCCTCTTTACCCGATTCTCCTACTGTCCAGGAAGAGTACCTTACTCATGCTTTTCCAGGTGGACCGACTGATCCATCAATACTGAGGAGTTTCAATAGTCATGTCGCTGCAGTTGTTTGGCACGTGGAGGTAAACATTCCTGAGTAGAAGAAAATTCATTTGTATATGAATTATTTTTTTTCTGTGTGTTGTATGGTAGTTTTTAATGAGATATTATTTGTGTTATTGGAACAAGGGCCCCTAAAGTGTCATAATCACTCTTCCAAGATCCTT